TTTTTTTTTTTTAAGAGAGAGAGTCTTTGCTATTGCTATAGGGCATGTGTACTTGCCAGAGAGACAGAGAGTGCAGAGAAACAGAAAGCAAGAAATCACCCCCTCCCCAAGGAGGGATGGCCACACCATAATCCTTTCTCCTCTGTTCTCCTCTTGGGATTTTTGGCATGCACGCATATGTGCCTGGCATGAGTTTAAGCTGCAGGGTCTGGGACTTGAACTGCGGTTGACCACGTGGGAGTCCAGTGATGTAACCATTATGTCACCTGTTGGTCCCAGGAAAGTTCTTTATCACTGTAAACTTGTGATAGTAGATTATGTAAATCACCTTGAGCCTTCCTTTTCTAGTTCCCAGAATGGTGTCCCACAGTCCGGAGTCTGAGAGTCATGGGAGGAAGGTGTGGGGTCGTGTTCGGTTGGGTCTGTGAGTGCTAATGAGCACTGATTTGAATGGATGCATGAGGGAATGGGTCACCTGAAAAGTAATGAGTGCTCCATCCCTGGAAGGATTCGAGCAAGGACTGAGACACTTCCTTCAGAGTTCCCAAAGAGGAAAGTTCTGAACCTGCTGGAAGCCAGGCAGGGTGACCTCAAGGTTCCTTCTGTTTTCTGTTTCTGAGAATCAGTGCTTCTGAGATATGTTTTCAGTTCATAAAACACTAACTATCTCAGTTCATCTACTTGAATAGGAAGAAGTCCAAACTCCAGAATACCTGCCTAATGTTAATATGAAGACCAAAGAGAAGAAGAAAAATAGATCTTGGGAACCAGCAGTTAGCGTAATGGCTATGTCGCTGGACTCCCACGTAGTCGACCTCGGTTCGTGTCCCGGACCCGGTGGCTTAAAACTCACGCCGGGCGCGTGTGCGTGCGTGCCCAAGATCCCGAGAGGAGAATGGAGGAGAAGGGATTGCGGCGTGACCATCCCCCCTGGGGGGTGATTTCTCGCTTTCTGTCTCTATGTCTCTCTCTGTCTGTCTGGCAAGCGCACGCGCCCTACAGTGAAAATCTCTCCCCCCAAAAAAAAAAAAGATCTTGTTGGTAAACAGTGAGCTCCCCACGAGTCCGGAGCAGCACGTGCTACAGCACTCTTGTGGGCATGCACACAAGGTGTCTGCAGGGCACAATGTACAGTGTACAGGGCACTTCGACACTGAGCCTGGTCGGGCCCTCCTCTGGATGCCTGCTTGCCCTGCCCCTATCCACAGCCACTGCTGTGCCCACCCTGTGTTGGTATGACCTTGACCTAGACTCAAAGCCCGGTGGTTTTTTTGTTTGTTTGCTTGTTTTTTGGAGAGGTTTTTGCTATGGGGCATGTGCGCTCACCAGAAAGACAGAGACAGAAAGCAAGAAATCACCTCCCCCCCCCATCCCGGGGAAATGGCCATGCCGCAATCCCTTCTTCTCCATTCTCTCGGAATTTTGGGCATGCACGCACATGCGCCTGGTGTGAATTTGAGCCACCGGGCCCGGGATTCAAACCACTGTTGACTACATGGGAGTCCAGCCACGTAGCCATTACGCCAACTGCGGGTCCCACCCCGTGGGGTTCTAACATGGGAAGAGAGGAACAGGGCCAGCACACTAGTCGGTGAGCAGAAGCAAGCACTTCAGAGCAAAACAATGCCTGTGGTTCCAGCTGCTCAGGAGGCTAAAGCAGGACAATCCAAAACAGCAAGACTCTGTCTAAAAAATATATAAATAAAACAAAACAAAACAAAGCTAAAAACTCCAAACAAAGTCATGGCTGCAGCCTCTTCATGGCCTGACCGCTGCTATTTGAACATATTTCTCAGCCAGTTGCAGTGTACCGGAGTAACAGCATGCTCCGGGACCTGAGGCCTTGTGAGGAGGTCACAGGTTTGCATCTCTGGCCTCCTTTTACATCCCGAGTTCACAGCACACCCTGATTCTGGACTGTGGCGTGGAAACCCTGTTGGGAGTACCGTCCTTTCTTTGTTCCATGGACAAAATAATAAACTTCTATGTATTTCTTCCCAATTCCTCTGAGTAATTACAACCTTGATCTCACTAAGCATGAGTTTTAAGCCACAGGGTTTGGGACTCGAACCACAGTCAACTACATGGGAGTCCAGCAACATAACCATTACACCATCTGCTGGTTCCTCTCCTGTTCTCTCTTTTTTTCTTTTCTTTTCTTTCTTTTTTTTTTTTTTTTTTTTTTTTTTTTTTGAGAATTTTTTCTTATGGGGCGCGTAAAGGGAGAAATCACGCTCCAGGGGGGATGGCCACACCGCAATCTCTTCTCCTCCATTCTCCTCTCGGGATCTTGGGCACGCACGCACACGCGCCGGGTATGAGTTTTAACCCCCCAGGTCCGGATGCAAACCGCGGTCGACTACGTGGGAGTCCAGCAACATAGCCATTACAATAACTGCTGGTCCCTCTCCTGTTCTTTCTATAAATTATATTTTGGGCTTTACTGAGAAGATAGCAATCACAAATTTTCTGAAATTTGTTCACCATTCTTTCCTAATGCTCTAATTACATAGTGTAAACTAATTTTCATAAATTTTTTTTAATTGCCGAAGGCAGGCCATCCCATGACCTGATGGTTAAGGCAGCTTGATCTCACATAGCTAACTGTGCAGTTCAAGTCCTGGACCTGGCTTTTAAAAGACACTAGGTACATATGTGTGCATGCCCCAAAATCCTGAAGGCGGGGAAAAATGGAGAAGGGATTGGGATGTGGCCATTCCCCATGTGGGGGTGATTTCTTACTCTCTTGCTCGCTCTCTCATGAGCACACATAACTTCTTTTTCCTTTTTTCTTTTTTTTTAATTGCCAGGAGGGCACATGTGGTCACCATAGAAAGTCAGAGAGAGAGAAAGGACCCCTGGTGAGACATGGCCATGCAACAGTCCCTTCCCCATCTCTCCATCCTGTTGGGATTTGGGACACCCATGTATATACACCCAGCATCTTTTTTCAAGCCTATGGAGCCAGAATTTGAAACACGACCAGCAATGTGAGATTCGTCGCCTTTAACTACTAGACTACAGGGCCAGTCCAAGAATGTTTTACAAAGAGCTCACACTTATAATCTCTTTCAAATATCAAGCAGGATTTTGGGCACGCATGCACATGTACCTAGTGTGTTTTTAAAGCCACCAGGTCCAGGACCTGAACTGCAAGGTCAACTATGTGAGATTCAGCTGCCTTAACCACTATGTAACCATCATGCCATCTGCTGGTCCCACATCTGACATGTTCAAACCTCCAGGGCTGGAATTCAAACCATGATCCGCCATGTGGAATCTTTTTTTTTTTTTTTTTTTTTTTGGAGAGGAAAAGCTTTAGGGCGCATGTGCTTGCCAGGAAGACAAAGAGACAGAGAGGCAGAAAGCGAGAAATCGGGGAGATGGCCACACTGTAATCCCTTCTCCTCTATTCTCCTCTTGGGATCTTGGGCACACATACACAGGCGTGAGTTTAAGCCACTGGGTCCGGGACTTGAACCGCAGCTGACTACATGGGAGTCCAGCAACATAGCCATTACACTAACTGCTGGTCCCCCACCACACCACATGGAATCTTAACCACTAGACAATGGACCCAGCCCCTAATTTCTGTATCAGCAGCTGTGGAGTCCTTAGCTTTTCATATCAAATGTGTCTGACATGCAGGAACACATTCAGATAAAAGTCAGCCCCAATCACTGCTGAGGATGCAAAGCGAAAAAGCATTTACAGAATGACAAACTATTACTACACCTATTAATAGCACAGGTTCCACACCTGCACATCAGTAGCAATTCCCACTTCTTCAATGTACCAGACACTTGCTATCTCTTATCTCTACCAGAAATCCAAAGCCTGATATTTTCCTATTTCATAAATGAAGAAACTGAGAAAGAGGGCCAAGTGATGTAGTGGTTAAGGCACCGGACTCCCACGTGATCAACTACAGTTCGAGCACCAGACCTGGGAGCTTGACATTCATGCCAGGTACATGTGCGTGTGCCCAAAATCCCAAGAGGAAAATGGAGGAGAAGGGACTACAATGTGGCCATCCCCCCTGGGAGGTGAGGTCTCACTTTCTCTCTCTGTGTCTATCTCTCCAGCAACCGCATGTGCCCTATAGCAAAAGTCTCTCTCTCCAAAAAGACAAAATGAATAGAAAACCAGGGCAGAGGCAGAACTATTGGGTTGTTGGAAAAGTCATGGCATAGTTTTCTGTTTTTCTATGCAAAAATGCATCATGACTTTCCCAGCGACCTAATAGAATCAGCTGGCCTGCCTCTCATGAACACTATCCCGTAAGTAAGCATCCCGGTTCCCCAGGGCCCAGATGCTGTCCCACCTGGCTGCCGTGGGGAGAGAGGCCCTGCAAGGCCCAAGGATCAGTTTAGCCAGTAAGTGTCCACCAGTCAGGAAGCGGGTTGTTGCTCGCTAAACCCAGAGAAGGAGTACTAAGTTCAGAAACCCAGAAAGTGCAGGGCTCACTGGGGGAAGGGGAGTAGAAATAGCTCTGGAAGTTGAGACTTGAGCCAGAACTGCTAAGGGTAACGGTGAGGCTGGTGTGCGATCACATCCACCGAGTGCTGTTGTGTGCTGAGCTTTGAGTTCCAGCACTGAATGCAATGCAGTCATTTGCTTTTCTGGGTCACTGTGGTGCTGAGCCGGCCGGTATAAAGGCCAGGAGGTGGCCTTCGAAGAGCCAGTGTTCAGCAATGCAATGGGGATAGAGTGTTGCCCCCAAGGAACCTGGGAGAATGGCCTGAAACAGCCCGAAGCAAACACATTTTTGAAATGCCCTTTGAAAAATATACCCCCAAAAAAGTCAGTTTGGGGCCCCTAGGTGGTGTGATGGTTAAGATGCTAGACTCCCACATGGCCGAGTTCCAGTGGTGTGAGTCCTGGGTCCAGCAGCTTGAAAATCACAATGAGTGTCATGCATGTATGCCCAAAATCTCGAGAGGAGAATGGAGAAGAGGGATCGTAGCGTGGCCGTCCCCCACAGGGGACGGGTGACTTCTCACTTTCCTTCTCTCTGTCTTTCTCTGTCTCTCTGGTGAGCGCAGTTTTTAGGGCCCAGCAATTGGCATAATATGTGCATGCCCAAGATCTGAAAGGAGAATGGAGGAGAAGGGGTTGTGGCATGGCCATCCCTCCTGGGGTGGTGATTTCTCGCTTTCTGTCTCTTTGTTTCTATCTTTCTGGTGAGTGCACGTGCCCTATAGTAAAAACCTCACCAAAGGAAAAAAAAGTATTATTTATTTAATTTTTATTTATTCATGCATTTATTTTAATTTGACCAGATAAAGTGAGAAAGCAAGCCACCAGGTCCAGGACTCGAACAGTGGTTGTTCATGTGGGCTGCTGGCCCCCAAACTGGCTTTTTTAAAACATTTATTTGTTTATTTATTTACTTACTTAATTATGGAGAGGTTTTTGCTATAGGGCGCATGCACTCACCAGAAAGACAGAGAGAGAGAGAAAGCGAGAAATCACCCCCTAGGGGGATGGCCATGCCGCAATCCCTTCTCCTCCATTCTCCTCTCGGGATCTTGAGCATGCACACACACGCACCCGGTGTGAGTTTAAGCCACCAGGTCCGGGACTCGAACCGTGTTTGAGTACATGGGAGTCCAGCAACATAGCCATTAGACCAACTGCTGGTCCTAATAAATAATTCTTTTTTAAAAAAAATTAAAACAAAAAAACCAGTTTGTCCTTTGACTTCATAGTATCTCTGTGTGTTTTCATATAATGACAATGCCATGCTGCCATGAAATGCCTGAGTGAAGTGGTCCCCCAAGACTAGCTCTCTGTCTGGGGGGTTCGCAGGCCTGGCTCTCAGCAGTCACACTGCCCCGGAGTTGATTTCATACCAATGAGGATTGGGTGAATTTCGATTTCATCAAAATAGTTGAAGACAGTCTCGTCTTCTGTATTGTTGTCCCGGTAGTTGCTCAGGGCCCGGAGGAATCGGTCCTGGCTGTAGTGGGTCCCTGCCACGAGGCTCTCAGGAAGGTTCATCACTCGCTCCTTCAGAAACTCGTCCGAGGCGTCCAGCGAGCAAACGAATTCTGGGGAGAAGGACAGGCTCTGGAGAGGGCTCACTTGCAGGCGCCAGTGAACGGGTGGGCTGGGGCTGACCTGACCGCTGGGTGCTACCTGGAACCTGGGGGGTGCCACTGATGGCCTGTCAAATTAGCCTTTCTGCTGCCTCTCATGGAGAACAAATACTTACAATCACATTTCCAGAGATCACCCTATGAGAGCCACCTGGTCAGGATTTTGTGGGATCTGTCATTTTTCCTCCCGTCCCCCCTTTCTCCTCCCTTTTCTATGTTCCTTTTAGAAAGAGCAGCAGAAATGGCAAACAGCTAGTCCCTGGTCACCTGCGCTCTCAGCTTCTTGTCAGCTCGAACCTTGCCGCTCCTCCAGCACATTTATCGTAGCTCCCTGAGAGCCAATGCTTTGACGGCTGGCTGAGGAAATGAATAAAGAGGGGGATGCCCTGGGATTCTAGTGCCTGTGACTCCAACTCCTCACTTCAGACCACTGGCTATGAAACCTCTGGTCCACGCGGCCTGGTCAGCGGTCATCAGACGTCCAACCCACGGTCGTGTTAATGACGGTGATCATTCCACCCACCTATGATGTTCTTTTAAACTCTGAAAGCGACTGTGTCTCCAGCTTCGAGTTCAAATTCATTAGCTATTTGTCAAGCGAATGAAAGACTAAGGTGCCAATCAGTGAAGCAAGGTTTCCAAGGAGAATTGCTATTTTTTTAGAGGTTTGTTTTTGTTTTTGTTTGCTTTGCTTTGCTTTAAGGTATGGGCCCTCCCTTGCTTGAGAGAGAGAGAGAGACAGAGTAAGTGAGAGGGAAAGTGAGAAATCCCCCCCTAGGGGGGATGGCCACGCTGTGATTCTTTCTCCTCCATTCTCCTTCTGGGATCTTGGGCACACACACACAGACATACACACACACACACACACACATGCCTGGTGTGAGTTTCCAGCCACCGAGTCCCCAACTTGAACCAAAGTCAGCCATGTGGGAGTCCAGTGACATAACCACTACGCCCCGTGCTGGCCCAAGAGTTGCTTTAAATATTCATGTTCAGGCTTTCTCAATAACAGGCCCACAGTACACTAGTGCCCAGATCATTTGTTGGCCAGATGCCTCACAGATAGCTCACTACCCTCAAGAGCACACAAAAGGGCCAGACGAGGGACCAGCATGTGGTGCGCCCAAAATCCTGACGGGAGAATGGGAAAGAAGGGATTGTGGCATGGCCGTCTCCCTTGGAGGGTGGTTTCTCACTTTCCTTCTCCTTCCCTCTCTCTCTCTGTCTCTGAAGAGCACACATACTCTATCACAAAATTACCAAAAAAAACATTTCCTTTCTCTATGATTGAGAGAGAATTTCAGGATTTTCATTATCTCGAGATAACTATTTAGAACATCTACTGTTTCCTGACTAACTCTGGACAGCAAATAATAGATTTCTGCTTGGTAAGATTGTATATAACAAGGTTGTTACTGGAATCACATGAAAATCCAAATTAAATTGTTAAACTGTCTTAACAATTTTTTCATATTTATCAGGTACAACCTTAGACCAGCAGATGGTATAATGGTTATGTCACTGGACTCCCACATAGTCAACCATGGTTTGAGTCCTGGGCCTGGCAGCTTACAAATCAGTTGGGCATGTGTGCGTGCATGCCCAAAATCCCGAGAGGAGAATGGAGAAGAAGGGATTGCAGTGTGACCAGCACCCTGCAGGGGGAGGGAGGTGATTTCCCATTCTCTCTCTCTCTCTCTCTTTCTCTCTCTCTCTGTCTCCCCAGTGAGTACATGCATTCTATAAGCAAAAAACTCTCAAAAAACAAAAACAACCCAAAAACTTGTTTCCTTCGGAGCCAGCAGGTGGCAGAGTCTCTATCTCTCTGGCAAGTGTACGTACCCTATAACAAAAATCTCTTTAAAAAAAGGGCCGTTTCCTTCAACTGAGATGAACAGCAGTGGTGAGATATGATGAATGATCAGCAAGCATAATGCCACCTAAATCTGAGTTACCATGGATTCACGTTCATCACTTAAATCAAGCCTGGATGCTTGGATTAATCATTATGTTGGTATCTTATGATCTTTTGAAAAGTTTATTTTAATTTATTCCATGAGAGAGCAAGACAGTACCCCTAACAGGGTCTGGACACCATGGTCACCCCCAGTTCCATACAGATCATGGGCAAGTGCATGCCCAGGGACCTCAGGCAGGTCTCTGGAGGTGAGCTGGTAGCCTTCTTCTGTGAGTCTGCTCTCTTGATGTTCTGACATCTTGGGGGACCTTATAGACCTAGGGAGAGACTCTCCTCCCAGAGCTGGCTAGTTCTGAACCCCAGTAAACAATTCATTTGGAAGCACACCTTCCACCTGCAAGCTGTCCGCCCCTTCTGTCTAGCTCTCACACACCAGGCCACTATGTTCCCTGCTCTTCCCATCCCAGGGCCAGGTACCAGCCAACCAGCAGCCTCTGCTGTGGCTTTATCAGTCCCTCCCACACAGTTCACTCTGACCCCGCCTTGCCTTTCTCTGGCTCCCCTGTGACCTTGCTATGGTATAGCATGCCCCCTTCTCTCAGGAACTGCAAGTAAATCTTTTTGTTAATGGCATTGACCTCTTCATGCCATCACTCAGACATCTCCACTGATTAAAACCACATAGGTGCAAATGAGATAATGCTTCAATTTATCCCAGGAAGATAAACATAAAAGCGATTTCTAGAAAGAGTAATTGACTAAGAACAGACTAAACACTCCGAATAGAGTGTCTTAGATATGTTTGGAGAGTGTCCAAAAGGAAGAGCAGCCTAGTGCACTGTGATTAAGTCATTCATTTTAAAAATGGGGAGATTCATTCATACCTTTACCTTTGTGTTTCTTGTCCTGTGGAATTTTTTTTTTTCTAGAAGGCATATTTTCTTGCCAAGAGAGACAAAGGGAAAAATAAGAAAGCACCCCCATGGGGGATGGCCCTACCACAATTCTGTCTCCATTTCTCTTTTCAGGACTTCAAGTGGGCATGCACACACACCCAGTATGTTCTTCAGTTCACCAGCTCTGGGACTCAAACTGTGCAGTTGACTTTGTGGGGTCTAGCCATCTTAACCACCGTGCCCCTGGCTGGCCCTGGGTGGGTTTTAGTCCTTGTGTTTTTAGAAGTCAGTGATTGAGAACCCCTGAGTTGGTATTTGAGCATTCCCATTTTCCCTAGAAGTACACCTGGATCAACGTTCGAGCCTGAGCTTCTGGAGCAGGTAAACCAAGGTGCAGTTGCGCCTCACAGGGTGGTGTTCACTGAGCTCGTATCTCATGCAGTGCCTGTCACATGACGAACTGATCATCCGCTGGCTTTTATCCAGTGGCCTCACAGAGAACATCGTGATTTACCATGGCATTTGTAATGAATTAATATTTCAATGAATGAGTATTTGATAACTCTTACCGATTGGACAGACCTGCTTATTTATCCGATTTTTTGTTTTAATGCCAGAGGGTATATGTGCCTGCCAGGGAGGAAAGCACCCTCCTGTGGGGTGTGGTCATGTGCCATCATCTTTCCTCCATTTCGCCAGCTCTGGGACTGTCAGGATTCTGGGCACACATGCAAACATACCTGTCATACTTTTCAAGCCACCAGGCCCAGGACTTGAACCACGGTCAATCGTGTGGGACCTGGCTTTCCATTTATAGTGCTTAATCAGACCTGGTTATTTGTAGTAATCAACCTTACTTCTTTGACTTTTTCTGGGGTGTATACCTAAATTAGTGAGATATGTGAGACAACTCATCTGATATGGTTTGAATGTATTTCCAAAAACCATATGTTAGAAACTTCATCCTCAGTGCACCAGTGGTGGGAAGTGTTTAGGTCATGAGGACTCCATTGTCGAGAATGAATTCACTGGGGCTGGCAGGTGGCCTGGTGGTTTAGGCACTGGACTCCTACATGGCTGATAGTAATTCAAACCTGGCAGCTTGCTCTCTCACTTTCCTTTTCTCTCTTTCTGGTCAATTAAAAAAATTAAATAAAAAAAATAATTCTTTAAAAGAAAAGAATGAATGAATTATAAAAAGCCTTGAGACTGTGGGTTCCAGCTCTTGCTCTTTTGTCCTCACATCCTTCTCCATGTGCCCCTTGATCTTGGACAGCCTAGCCTCCAGAACTGTAAGAAATGAGTTTCTGTTCTTTATAAATTACCTAACCTCAGGTATTCTGTACAGCAACACACAAGAGACTAAGACTCAGCATTCCGGCCCTTAACCTCCCCATCAGAAATACCATTTCTTTCTGTAACTAAAAATGCTATCTAAACTTCAATGATCTGACCTTTCTTTGAGTCTCATACATCATGTATGACTTCATGTACACATGAATGTTAATAAGCTTATATGCTTTTTTCCTTACTAAAAAAATGACAGTACCCCTTTGTCATTTCATGTTTCTGCAATTGGTTTCAGAGTTTTCAGGCAAGCAATAAGAACCTATCCCTTAGGAAGACTACTATCTGGTGTTATGTCTGCTTCCAGATGTTTCTCTGCATGCTATCCCTGCACCAAGTAGGGGAGATGATTACAGTTGCAAACTGACTCCCTTGAAGACTTCACAGCAGTGATCAGGCCCTTTTTATTGATAGTTATAACATTGCATTAAGTTGCAGGAAATAGCTGTTCTTATATTGATCATATGACCCACAATTCCCTATGATTGCATCTCATGGCAGCTAACAACAGTAACAGCAACAGAAACGTTTTTTAATTGCCAGAGAACACATGCATTGGTCAGAGAGAGACAGAGAGACAGAGGGAGAAGGAGCAAGCACCCCCTGCCCCAACAGGACTTGGTGATTCTGCAGTCCCTGCTTCTCCATTTCTCTTGGTATTTCAGGCATGCATACACATGAGCCTAGTGTTTTTCAGGCCACCCAGGCTGGGATTTGAACCACAGTGAGACATGTGGAATCAGCTCTCTTAACCACTAGGCTATGGGACTAATTTCAAAATAAAACTTTTTTTTTTTCCCCTGTAGGATGTGTATTCTGGCCAGAGAGAGACAGAAAGGGAGAGGAATAAGTACACCCCATGGGAAACAGTCATGCTGCAATCCCTTCTCTTCCATCTCTCCCTCCTTTCAGGATTTTGGGCATGCACACACATGTGCCTGGTCTGTTTCTTAAGCCACTAGGTCTGGGACTTGAACCACACAATCAGCCATGTAGTATCTGGCTCTCTTAACCACCAAGCCACAGAGCCAGCCCAACAACAAAACTGTATATTTTTTAATTTGACAGAGGGTACATACACTCACTAAGACAGAGACAGAGACAGAGAGAAAGCACCCCTCATGGGGGACAATCACTCTACAGTCTCTTCTTCACTTTCTTGTTGTGATTCTGGACATGCACACACATGCTCAGCATGTTTTCCAAGCTGCCAGATCTAGGTCTTGAACTGTGCAATCAGCATATGGGATCCAGCTGCCTCAGTCCCATGCCACCAGCTGGCTCAACAACAAAAATTAAAGCTCTTGGGAAGGTCAGAAGAAATACATGTTTGGTGCTCAACAAATCTTGATGCGTGGGACAAGTTGTTTATGTTTTGCTTTCAAGAGTACATCTTGACATTTCTGTGTAAATACATGATAGATTAAACTGCTGTGGAATTGGGGCCAACAAAGGGTGTAATGGTTACATCACTGGACCCCCATGTAGTTGACCACAGTTTGAGTCCTGGACCTGGCGACTTGAAACCCACACCGGGTGCATGTGTGTGCATGTCCAAAATCCTGAGAGGAGAATGGAGAAGAAAGGGTTGTGGTATGGCCACCTCCCGGGGGGATTATTTCTCCCTTTCTATCTCTGTCTGTCTCTTTGGCAAGTGCAGGTGCCCTGTAACAAAAATCTCTAAAAGAAAAAACAAAAACAGAAAACACTGCTGTGGAATTAACAGTGAACCAAAAAGTGTTTTACCTGTCCAATTTTGTTCCAGGATGGCAAATGTCTTCTGGAAAAGAAGAGATTGCATTGCTAGCACCAGCAGCAGAGCCGGGAATGATCTGCGGTACCCCTGTCCTTGGCTTCTTACCAACTGACTCAGAAGGAAAGCCGTCGATAGGTTTGCTACCTTGCATTTCATTTCAGGGAGAAGCAACGGAAAGGAATCTGCTCCCAAAGACTTCTACCCGTTTCATAATGTTCATAATATCTCTGATGTTTACCCCCAATGCACTCACTAGTTTGCGAGTTTGTGACTGTGTTTTAAATTATTTTCCTAAAAAAAAGAAAAAGATCTACTTTATTAGACCCAAAAAGATTGTTTCAGGATGAAAGATATATTGAATGGCATTCCTTTAAATGTGGTCTTGGAGTAATACCTTAAACTTACCTGGGATAATTAACTTATCAATGGGAAACATTTTGCCTCTGACTTCCTCCTCCTCCTCCTCATCTTCCTCTAATAAAACAAAATAGATATTGTCATATTCATTAACATATTACTGTGGATTGCTGCAAAAAGCACCTTAACTAGTGATCACTAATGACAGTCAGCCATAATTAGAACACGTACTTTAGAAATATTTTCATAACTTAAATGTCCATTGAAGGATGAGTGGATAAAGAAAATGTAGCATAAATACATAAAATGGAATTTCTGGGTCTGCAGGTAATGTGAACATTAAGCTGCTGAATCCCACATGGCTGACTCTGTGGTTTGAGTCCTGGACCCAATGGCTTGAAAATTACACTGGGCACAAGTATATGCATGCGAGGAGAATGGAGAAGGGATTGCGGCATGGCAAACCCCTCTGGGAGGCAATTTCTCACTTTCTGCCTCTCTCTCTGGTGAGCACATGCACCCTATGGCAAAAGAAAACAAAACAACTCCCCCCCACACACACACACACAAAGAAGGAATTTCTGCCCTAGTGACAACATGGATCAATCTTAAGAACATTAAAATAAGTCAGTTACAGAGAGTCACACACTGCATGATTGCACTTACACAGGTATCCCAAATAGTCAAGTTTGTAGAGTAAAAGAGTGGAATGGTGGTTTCCAGGGGCTCAGGGTTGGGGTGTGGGGGGAAGGAGAGTTACTAATCAGTGGGTATAGAGTATTTTTTTTAATTATCTCATTTATTTATTTACGTGTTTGTTTATTTTAATTTGACCAGGGAGAGACAGAGTGAGAGTGGGGGTGGTGAGAAAGTGAGAAAGCAAGCTGCCAGGTCCGGGATTCGAACCATGGTCAGTCATGTGGGAGTCCAGTGCTCTTAACCACCACGCCACCTGCCAGCCTCAGCATAAAGCTTTAACCCAGCGAGGTGAATAGCTCTAGAGATGTGCCAAACAACACAGTACCTACAGCCAACAACTTACAATTCTGCTGAGACGGTAGCTCTCACATCAAGTGCTTGTGTCAGAATAAAATTAATTTATGAACAATTTTAAAAGACCATGCACCTAATAAAAGATGCATTAAGATGAGGAAGAAAGGAAGAATCTCTTTTTTGTTTCCTTTTAGTTGAGTGATGACTCTCTGCACACTGAAGTTCCAACTTATCTAAACACACACTCAGACTTACGATTGAACAAGTCTTTTGCTTGATCATAGGTCTTGGGGAATCCATCCAAAATGTAACCTTGATTCCTGCAAGGCATAGATTTCAGCTTTTCCTTTATAAATCTAATTATGTATTGATCTTCTAGTCGTCCTGATAGAAAGAAAAAAATTACTGTAGAGTCCTATTTAGAGATGATGTTCCGTTATCTAGAAAGTCGTGTATGTCAAAGGTACTATGTAAATCCTTACTTAAACCCTTCAAGTGTGTGGTTTTAGGGCCAGCTGGTGGCATGGGGGTTGGAGCAGCTGGATCCCACATGGCTCAATGTGCGTTCCAGCCTGAACCCAGCAGCTGGGCAAGTGTGCGTGTGTGCTGGGCAAGTGTGCGTGTGTGCCCAAAGTCCAGAGAAGAGAATGGAGAAGAGATTTCAGCAAGGCCATCTGCCCCGGGAAAGGGGGTAGGGGTGAGGTGCTTTACCACTTTCTCTGCTCTGACTGTCTCTGGCAAGCACATGTGCCATCACACACACACATGCACACACACACACACACACACTCACACAAAGCAGGTACTCAACAGAACGAGGCAGTGGAACAATGGTAATGCAGCTGGACCCATGTGAGAAGGTCCTGGGTTCATGGCCGAGGTCTCCCCATGTCCGTGGAGCATCCACCAGTGTACCCTTGACCCAGCTGGCTGAGGTGGGGGTAGGTCACACGGCGTGAAGACCCTGTGGGGAGCTTCTGTCTATATCCTTCTCTGTTTCTGATGAAAGAAATAAATACAGAAACTTTTTTAAAAAGTAGATGCTTAATAAATATTTGCTGGGTTTGAAGAACAATCGCATTCGACCTGACCCACGAAGCGCTGTTCTCTTTAAAGCTGTAGCAAAGGGCATGGCTCTTTTCCCGGTGGCATTTCTCACCCTGACCCCCACTGGACAGTTCCCCTCAAGCCCTGGGCCCAGGGTTCCTGGAATTGCTGGGGAGGTGGAGGAGAGAGGAGTTCGTTCTAAAGCTGACACAGCACTTAAAGGACAACACGATGCAACTTCACTTCAACATCCACCTGTCATTCTACCCGCAGCTGTGGACAGCCATCCTGTTCAAGGTGCAGCCCCAGCCTCGCAGTGAAGGGTGCCACGTACACACGAAGTAACGTAAGTTGGGCAAGTCTGAGACACTGAGCTCTGAAGCTCTTTCCGGGGCAAGGTCTATACTCTTAGTTTATCAGGCAGCCTGTAATCTAAAATCATGTTGGGCCTCTTTTTATCACTCTATTAATAACAAAATGGTCTAATTAAAATACCTCTCCTTTCCTGTTCCTTTCAGCATCACACGGATCATTAGGTAGGGATGGATTCAGAAAATAATTGTGTCTTTCAGAAATGTAAATACTATGGCTGAGACAAACAGTCAAAGGTATTATTTACCATAATGAAATTCCTCTAAGTGATTTTGCATTACTTCCCAGTTAGGTTCACAGTGGTGCAAAGAAATAAAGACAAATAAAAGGTGTCGGGCCAGCCGGTGGCAGGGTCGTTAAGGCGGCTGGATCCCGCAGGCCGACTGTGCATTATGGGTTCTGACTCGGCTGCTTGGATTACATGACTGTGCCCTACTGGGACGGGCTCTATCCCCTCCCTATCGCTGTCTCTCTGGCGAGCTCACACACACTCTGCCAATAAAATTTGTAATTAATTAAAAAAATTAAGTGAGCACAAAGAATCTGTAATTAGTGTCCTCCGCGGCTTCCCATTTTGGCTGTACCGTGAGGCCAATGGGTGAGGGATTGTGAGGACAACATGGAGGTCCTCGCCGCAGGATGGCGACACTTGTCCTGGGTCATTGGAACCGCGTGATAGATGACCAGTGGGGCCGTGTGAGAGAGAAGTGCATTAGCCTGGGTGTCATCAGGCCGTGGAATTCCTATGTGTGTCTGTGCAAGGGGTCAAAGGTCTCGTTTTGTTCAAACATGACCAAAGTCCATGTTCTATTATAGTTTCACGAGGTAAACACGAACAGGAAGCAGCTTTGGATATACGGGGGCGGGGAGGGCACCTTCCTAAAGTGAAAGGAGACTGAGTGGGATGGCTGCGTTGGCACAAGCCAGAGCGCCCTGCTTGGTGGCCAAGGCCCAATGGGAAGCCTGGGTTTGGTTTCAGCCAGGAGTGGGGCTCACTGGGCACTGCATCTGTGGTCCCCGCTGCCTGGGAGGCTGAGGCAGGAGGACCTAGACAGGAGAAACCCCATCCAACACCTCCTTCTCTTCCCCCCTCTTTCTCCTCCCCCTCTTTCTCTCTTTGCCTCCTCATTTAAAAACAAAGGCGGGGGAGAGGCAGTTGATGGACTATTCCAATCTTGCGGGAGGTGGGAGGTGGGTGGTGGGTGGTGGGAGGCAGTGG